TTCTGGATCAACTCCTTCTATATCAGTAAGAGTAATTGCTTTATTAAGCAACATTTTATAAAATGGAGTTGTAAAACCCCCGTCTATATGATGACCATGAAAAACAGCAATTCCTATAATTCTGCCAGCAAAATGGAAGTACGATAAATGTTCTGGATTTATTCCCGAATCTGGATTAATTTGAAGTGTATAATTATCGTCTCTCGAATATTGGAAAAGTCCATATTGTGGATTTAACATTTCATGTGATAATAAATATAGCCATTCTCTAGCTACTCCACCATAATCGAGACCTTCTTCACCTCGGAATTTTACCATAAGTCTTTTTCGCATGTCTTTTGGTCGCATTTTCATTATTAATCTATATGACTCCTACATAAAAAAAAAACGTATATATTACTAAATTATTATTATAAATTTTGCAAATATCAAATATAATTAAGCACTCACTTCAAATATTTCATTTCTTGATACTTCAAGTCTACAATGTCCACTTTGAGGTTGAAGAGCATTTAATTCTGCTCTCAAACATTTTAATTTTGCCACTAAATCTCGTTTATATTTCGGCAAAAGCTCATTATCCATTAGTTCCTTTGGTAATTCTGATACAGTTTGAGCATTTTGAGCCGATGTATTTTCCACTAAAATAAATATATTAGATAATTTAATAAATATTAGATATTATAAAACCAAGAAATTAATATTAATAAAATATATATATAAAATATATATTAAGAAAATATATATATTATATTTTTATTATAAAAATATAATATACATAAAATGATTATAATAATATAATAATGTACTTTAACAAATAAGATTTTCCAAAAGTGAAAGAGCATTTGAATAAAATTGTTTAATAATAAAAATTAAGATCAAACAAATAGATATACTAATATATTGTTTTATTTCTATTGTCTATTGCATTATTGGTCTATATTGCATTAAATAGATTATATAAATAACTATCTATGATTTAAATAATATCAGTAATATAATATAACTCAATTTTATAATATACTCTATATTCATGTTACAAATTTAACTTTATAATTATAATATTAAAATAAAAATTCTTACATGTTGGGGAGTTATTATTACTTCCATTCTCTGTTCTTGATCTTTGCTGGACAATATTGCATTGAATACTTGGAGATGCAGGTGTCTCTATTTCTGTAGATTCATTTATAGTTGCCGAATTATTTGAATTACTCGTTGTTTGATTAGTATTATTTTGTCGTCTACTACGATAAAAATATAATTTTATAAATTAAATAATTATAAATTAAAATGTTTTCATTTTTTTAACTTACTTTAATAAATTGCTTATGATTTGACTGGATAATCTTGGATCAGTAAATTGTGTAGTTCTATTATTATGATCTACAAAATAAACACGACCACTTTGAGTCTGTCGCATTTCCCATCCGCTTGGTAATGGTCCAAGTTCATTTGCTAATTCATTTGCTGGTAAATCACGAGGTATTCTAGGATCGTGCCACGTAGATGATCCCGTTGGTACATGATAAAAATACACTTGACCTTGTTGCGTTTTTCTCATTTCTGCAATATCCATTTATTTGACAATTTTTTATTCAATTTATATATTTATATATCAAAATTTTTTAATTTTAATACTCACCATAACCTCTCGGTAAATCTGGTGGTTGTGGAGGATCATATCTCCTTTCATTATTAATCATTACACTATTTCTATTTCTATTACTCCGATTAGGCCTTCGTGGTTGAGCATTGTTAATACTACGATCTGATCTAACATTTCCATTTTGATTACCATTTTGTTCATCATTTGCTCTAATTGGTCGTCGTTCTCTTGATGAAGCAGGTGTTACATTTCTTGTATTATGTTGATTTTGTTGTGTATTTCTATTTTGTTGTTGAGTAGGTGTATTTCTTGGAGTATTTGGAGTAGAACTATCTCTGCTAGGTGTTCTACTAGGTGTTCCATCTCCATTCCATTCAGGTGTGCACCTAGTAGGGCTTTCAGTTCTTAAATTAGGAGGACTTCCACTGCCACTGGGAGAAGTAGGTTCAGAAGAAGGTAATGGTGGTGGTTCAGGTGTAGTTGGTATTATACCATTGGTAGGTCTATTATAATAAATTAAAATGTACATTATAAATAAATTTAGTCACATAAAAAGAAAAAATTTTTTAAAAAATAAAACTTACCGTGCATTTGGACGAATCCATTGTGTAGTTCTGGTATAATGATTGACATAATAAAGTCGACCACTTCGAGTTCTTCTTTCTTCCCATCCATCTGGTAAATCAGTTGGACAACTCAGATCTCCAAGAACATCAACAACTGCATTATGACCCACTGTATTACTCACAGCACCATTATGACCATCTCGTGATAAAAGAGATACTACAACTTCTCCTTTAACTACATCTGTGTCATCTGAATGTGCTTTACAAAGATCTAATCGTTGATCTATAAAATAATTAAATTTAAAAATTAAATATATTATAACTGTTGATGGTTCAATATACTAAATTAAATATACTAATAATACCATAAATAAAATTCAAATAAATAAATAAAATGATAATTACATCCTGTATCCTTGAGTCTTTGAATTGTATTAGATAATATTCGTACACATCCTAAAAATCCTCCACCTTTTTTTTTATGGATTTTTTTATGATTCCAAACTGATATAGTAATACCATCATCTTTTCCAATGTACCTGTAAAATATTAAGAATTCATGTAATTTTATACATAGAAAATTATATTTATATTATAATTAAAAAGTAATTACAGATCATAATGTTGATTCCACATGGGATCTAGAGTTGCCTTGCATGTATGTGTACTATGACACTGACCTGAACCATCAACAGTTATTTTAGCAAAAGGATCCGGTAGGCCTGAAATAAAATTTTTATTTTAACAATATATTTTTTTACAACATATGTTTTTTTCAATATAAAAAATACTTACGAAATAGATCTTTTCTGGCAAGATTACGGGCACATAAAACTGTAAATATACATAATCAATATTTAAGTTTATATTGACTAATATATTTTTATGATATAAATAATAATCAAACACACACACACATCCATAATAAGAAGAAAATAACATAATAATAATTTATAGAATAATAATTTTATAGAAAATAAACTCATAACATATGTAAATTTTATCTTCATGGTATATAATTTTATTATTTGATACTTTTTGATGAATATTAAATAATAATATATAATTTAATCAAATTAATAAAGATTTATACAAAAAAATTTTTTATTATAAATCTTTCATTATAAATGATACAATGATACTAGTCATAAATTAATATTTAAAATCAACTTTGAAATGAAAAATATTAATCATATATTCGTTTAAAAAATATTAAAGCTTTTCATCAGTACTAAATGTCTGACATTTGTTAATTAGGCCTATTCACATTTGATTATGAGCTCGGTAATATACTCCATTGAATCAATTAACAAGAAGCATTTTTTAAATAAAAAATGTTAATAACATATCATGTTTTCTGGTTGTTGTTAATTATTGAGAGAGAATCAATGCGAGTATGACAAGTTCACCAAAATTAACATCTTGTCTATGGTCTCCCGGAGTGCTCACGGTGGGGTCTTGACCTCTGATAGGGAGTTGCCATAACCAAAGGACGAAAACCCTAGTGAAATCTTTTTGCGTATTTTTCTTTTCATACTAATTGAGTAATATACGATATTTATAACAATTCTGATGTTATTCAAAAACAGCCTCCTGTAAGGATTATAACAGGACTACATAAGGGACACATAACAAATCAAGATGAGAAAGATCACAACGCGTGTTGGCTGTCGGCCGACTTTCACGCTCCTCTCTCGTTAGATTCATCATCTTTTCTTAATAAACTCACTCGTCAAACGAATCTTCATGGCCCCGTTCCTCTTGCTACCGCCCGGATTCGACATTTTCCACGCACATTTAACGCTTTCTACCGAACATCGGCACTCTAATTAGTAAATAAAACTGCTGCTCGAAGCGGCGGTGCAATCTGCACACACGCAACTATGCACAATCGATTTGCAGTTGTTCGATTTTACCGACGGTATCGACTCAAACTTTTATCGATTCAAGCATCTCGAAATATATCGAAAGCAAATTACGATCTATTAGATTGTTACGATTAAAATAAAATCGCAAATTTATTATATAATAATATTTATATAGAATTAATTCATAAATATATTTTTTTATATCGAAACGAAATTATTAATACAATATAATAAATGTCTTCTATAATAAAATTACTTCCCATACAATATAATTTTATAATATTTCAAAAAATAAATTTTCATTTAAAAATTACATTATAAAATTTTAATTTTTTTAAAAATTCATTTAATATTAGAATGAATATTTATCTAATATTGAAGAAAAAAAATATATTTTTCTTAACAAAATCTCATTTAATGTAAAACATATTTAAAAAAAAATTAAATACAATAATTTATTTTATCGAATTATATATTTTAATTTTATATATACACGTTATATTATTTTAATTATATTTTGATTTTTATTTATATTTTATTAAAAATTTATATTTTTGATATTCTTAAAAATCAATGATTAAAAATCAATGATTAAATTGAATATCAATAAGAATATTATAATGTTTACAAAAAATTGATTATTAATATAAAATGATAAAAAAAAAGAGAATATAATTTACATAGTTTGTGATCATAGCTTAATTTATGTGCAACAATCATGATTACAATGCTTTCACTGGCCTTATATTACATTAAAAAGGAAGTACTGCTTCTAAAAGAATAATAAAAATTTTTCTAAATTTTAAATTTTTCTAATTTTCTAATTAAAATTCTAAATTTTAAATGCATTTTAAATTCTTTAAATTTTTAATATTTTGAACTTGAAATTAAAAAATATATAAATAAATATTATTTACAGTTTCTTATTTAATATTAATTGATGTAGTTTTATGATAATAAATATTAAAAAAATTGAGAAGAAATTTTTTTTCGAAGAAATATAAATCGAGAAATTATTATTATAAATGAAAATTTTATGAATATAATATAAAAATGAAAGTGAAGATTTTTATATTATCCTTATAATAATAAATTAAAATTATTACAAAATATGAAGAAAATTTAATCAAACATGACACAATTACAATTAAATTTAAAGATAAGCATTAATTAATATTAATTTAATTATATTAAACATTATTTAAGTAAAGTGAAAATCTAATATATTAATGATACCTTAAAAAATTAAATCGTTTCCAATGTCTATAATGACATATTTATAGTATATTTAATAATAGTATATAAATATAAATTTAAAATTTTTGGTTTTAAGCTTTCAAATATATTGCATTATACGATACGATTTTAATAAAAATTATTTAATTATCATAATGTGAAAAAAATCTTTCTAAAAACAAATTTTTGTTTTAATTAATAAACATTATACGAATCTTTTCTTCTATTTATATTTCATTTTGCTAATAATAATGCTTATAACATTTATCTTATTTTTTCTCGAAATTTTCCAGATTTTATTAAAAACAAATTTTAATTCTTTCGATTTTTAGCAATAATTTATTAAAACGAAATTATTATTCATTTTTTATCATCGTATCTTTAAAAATGAAACGATAATTATATGGTCCCTGACATTATTTAAAATATTTTGTATTTTAATTTCCTCGGAATGCGAACACTGCATCTACCAAAAACAAAATTCCTTGAACTATACTGATGCATCCTTTAGCGATACCAGTATTACGAAAATTCCCTCGGTAGACTGCGTTTATGAAGTGATCAAGGATAAGAGCACCAGCAATGATGAACAAGATGCAACCGACTATGGAGAAAAATAAATCCTGCAAATCAAAAATTTCGTAATTATCATTTTATAACTTTTTGATTTTTTTCTTTTCATGTAAATAAAAATTTATAAAAAAAGATTAGAAAAACATAATGGTTTAAATAGATTTTTTTAATTTATGATTTTCATATGACGAAGAAACTATTAATATTTCTAAATTAATAATGATAAGTTATTCCATATATGAAATCAAAAATCTACATTATGAAATGATAAATTCATAATACAAAAATTATTTTTAAAAAGAAAAATATTTTTGAAATTTTATAATATATTTAAAATTTTAGAAACAAAATTGTAATATTTTAAATATAATATATTATGAGAAAAGAATTCCAGAAAATTTATTTATTTTTTATATCTCAATAATAATGAATGGTCATTATAAATTGTTAAACTCGTTTTGATAACCACTTTCACTTAATGCAAAAAAATTATAACTATCAACTTAAATATAAACATTTCGTCGAAAATCATCATAAAAATATAGAAAAGTATAGAAAAGTTTTGTAGTATAATAAACAAAATATAATCTTGATATTGATACTAAATATTTGATAATGAATTTAATTTATTTAATTTATATTAAAAAAAAAAAATGGTATCAAGAAAAATATTTATTAAGTTATTTTATATTTTATTTTTATATATATCCAAATCTATCACTATATATATCCAATCTACACAATAATATAGTTATAGTTATAGAAAATAATTTATAAAGTATTACAAATAACTTATTATCATTTTGTTCACTGTAATACTATTATTGCAATATTAATTGAAATATAATATGAATAAAATATAAATAAAATAGTTTTTAAAATAGTTTTAAAAATATAGTTTAAAAAAAATCATAAAAAAATAAAAAAATGTATATAAATAATATTTTTTATAAAAAAATTCGTATGAAATTATTCAAATATAATTCTGATTTACCAAGCGATGATCAATAGTAGCTCCTAGGATAATTCCAAGACATATTCCCACGAGAATAATTAAATATCCACCAAAGGTACCCATTGTAATAAAAGCACTGGTTAAACTACTATCACTAAAGGAATGATAATGTAATCCTATAAGAACGCATACTATTATCTGAAAATAATAAAAAAAGAGAAAAATATAAATGGTAAATAAACAAAGTAATAAATACGATTAAAATTTATTTAAAAGTATATATTAATTCCAATAATACAATATCTTTTTATTTCAATATTTTTAAACTATTGCATATATCCATAAAATATATTAATATAAATATTAGTAATGTTATGCTATTATTTAACAGATTATATTAAATGTTTAGTACTTCATATATAGTTTTGAAACTATATTGTCATAAAAAATTGTTTGTTCATTTTTTCAATTTGAATTAATTGTAAAAATTCCATTATTCGATAGTATATATCTCTTAATGCAATAATTTCTAATGCAATAATATCATTAACGCAAAAATTCTGAATTTTTTTATTTACAATGTTATATAATCTAATATAATCAATATTATAAAATAAAGCCAAACTATAAAAAGTTATAAGTTATATATTATATATAAATGATTTACTATACTAAAATGATTAAATTAACGAAATAAGAAGATAGATTCCATTAATACCATAATTAGAATTCAATGATCATACTCTAAGAAGAATTTTTTTCAAGAATATAAATTTTGAGCAGAAATTTATGGGCATCATGATTGAATGTATAAAAATAGACGAAACAAATAAATATATAAGTATATACATTAATATCATTATAAATAACCTATTAAAATTCAATTATCGTACTTTGAATAAAAAATCAATTCTATTGCAAAGGTACAAATTTTGAACCAATAATTGATGATAAACGCTTCTTCATAGAAAGTATTTTCTCATCATTCTTAATGTTACATTCATAACGTTCTGAGCTCATCATTATGTATAGTAACATTACGTTATATATTCAATTTCAAACTTGATTCGAAATAAATTCTTGAAATATTCTATTCCTTTTTCTTTTTAATAACAATGATTCAATGTTTTAATAAGAATTTTTAATTTTTTATTATTTATTGACATCTTTCGATTATCTTATGTGATCGATAGAATAAAGTCATTGGAAAATATTTAATAATTTTTAATACTTTTAATTGTTTTCGCTATTTGAATTGTTTTACTGGATCAATAAAGACAAATGAATGTATTGTTCATGAAAAAAGATAAAACATTTACTATTGAAATTCTATAGCGATGTTTATAATGATAAAGTGTTTTAACGTTTCTTTTTATGTACTAACTAAGAATATATAAGAATAAGGATTCTTTATCATAATTTTTTATTTTAATGTAGATTTTTTAAATTAAGTTTTATAACACATTAATTTTTTAATAAATTATCTATAATTTCCAAATATAATTGCAAAAATTTTCAAACAATAAATATTAATAATAAAATTAATCTTAGTAAATTTACCAATTAAAATCCAATTTAAAATAATCAAAAATGTAATATATTATATAAAAAAAAGATAAAATAATTAAAATTTTGAATTAAAGAATAAATAAAAAATCAAAATCATAAAAGTTTATACGATGTATCATAGCTAAAAAAATCATAATAAAAACTTGAATAATAATTTATTTCCGGAATGTGAAGTGTGATCATAACAAGAAGAGATGCACAATAATCATTATATATAATTTTTTATATCATTTATATTATATCATTTTTTATTCTAATAGAAAAAGAAAATATTTCTACGAGATTTCAGAATCTATTATTCATTTATAATTTCTTTTGAATAATGTGATTATTAGATAGAATATTAGATAGAATATTAGTAGAATTACAATTTTAATTTCGATATTTAAACAATAAAATTTTTATTTGATTTGAAATTATTTCTCTACTTACCAATTCCACCACTTTGAAGATAGTAGCCTTGTTCATCCCCATCTTAACCTATTTGTAAAAAAAAATTATTTAAAAATTTATTATTTTAAAAGTTTTAAAAAAAAATCACATAATGATATATATCAATTTTTTTCTAAATTAATAACATTCTCACAATATAACTGATTCCTTTTTTTTAGAAAATGTAATATAAAATCTTATTTTATTTATTATACTTCTATATATAATAAGTTTCAAAAATTGAAATTAATAGTAATTATTAAAGTTA